CAACCCGCTTTCAGGCCAACTAACAAACCCAGAGTTTTGGCAGAGTTAGCCAATAGCCACTTAGGGTTACAGGCGATGCCTGGCGGGGGCACAGAGAACCGAGCCATTGTGTTTTGACCTGAGGCCATGAGGGAAGGTTCCCTAAAACTGGTAGCATTTGCCTGGGCCTGAGATTTATGTGGGAGTATAAGCGGGTGGAAGGAACACTCTCTACTCCTGCAGAATGCCTCCTACCCACCTCCTGTCAGCCAGAGGTCATTTATCTCTGCAGCGGCAGATCTCTCTGCCCCAGACATTCTTAGTACATAGAAATATGATTTCCAAGTGCCGATATGGGCAAGCCTACTCCCAAGGTACGTTTTTACTGATCCACAGCAAAACGCAACACATAAAGACAAAACTGAAGTAAAATATTCAGATTAAAGAACAGCCTTTTTTTTTTTTGAGATAAGGTCTCACTCTGTCGCTCAGGCAGTGGTGTGATTAGAGCTCACTACAGCCTTGACCTCCTGAGCTCAAGCAATCCTTCTACCTCAGCTTCCCGAGTAGCTAGGACCGCAGGCACACACCATCACACCTGGCTGATTTTTGTATTTTTAGTAGAGATAGAGTTGCCCAGGCTGGTCTCGAACTCCTGGTCTCGTGTGATCCGCCCGCCTCGGCCTCCCAGAGTGCTGATATGACAGGTTTGAGCCATGGTACCCAACCCCGTCTTTTCTTAGGATGTGAGGTCCTTCCTGATTTTTTGATGATAAAAGACCTTGTCTTTTTAATGAAATGATACTGATAGAAGATACTATACTAGATTGGATTATAAAAATTAGTTTTGCTTGGTAAGTTAATAGTTGACCAAATGCATTGGTCTCTGAGATGTGACTGATCTTAAACCATTTTGGAGTCTGAGAGCACCTGGCCTGGAATCCACAAGGTGCCCCCCCGCCCTGCAGATTCAGCCCTTTCTCCAGTTCCTCCCTCCAGGCCTTGGGAGTCTCCTCCTACAGGTGGGCGGTGATGAGCCCAGGACTCTGTGTCTTTGTCCTCTCCTGTGTTGAGGTGTGGAATTGGTCACTTTCCAGAGCAAGTGATAAACTGAATCACACCAAAGCAGTAATGAGGGAGGCCAATCTATCCCTGGGGTCTTTGACTTTTAGTGGAGTATTAAAACTTAATTTAAACTGATGAACTGTAATCATCCCATCCTTCCATGGGATGATGGGGCAAATATATTTCTTTTTAAATAAAGGGCTTTCTTCTGAAATCAGACCACACCCTTTCAATGACTGACACAGACTGCTGGAGAGAAGCAAGAGTAACAGCTGATTCTGTCTTCTAGATCAAAATGTCCCACTCCCCAGTGAAAAGAAATCCTGACTTTTTCTCTGCCCCTCTACAATACAGGATGAAGCAGTCAGTCCCATCACCTCTAGCCCTGGATTAAAGAGCAACTCACATATCGCTCTCTCTTTCTTTCTTTTTTTTTTTTTTTTTTCCTGAGTTGGAGTCTCTCACTGTCACCCAGGCTGGAGTGCAGTGGCGCAATCTTGGCTCACTGCAACCTCCACCTCCTGGGTTCAAGTGATTCTCCTGCCTCAGCCTCCTGAATAGCTGAAATTACAGGTGCCCGCCACCACACCCAGCTAATTTTTTGTATTTTTAGTAGAGATGGGGTTTCATCATGTTGGCCAGGCTGGTCTCGAACTCCTGACCTCGTGATTCACCAACCTCGGGATTCACCAACCTCGGCCTCCTAAAGTGCTGGGATTACAGGCATAAGCCACCATGCCTGGCCCACACATCCCTCTTATAAGACCAAACTCTGGCCAGTTTTCTGCATGCCTGATGCTCCTTGCAGAAACAGATCTATCCTGCCTACCTCTGGAATCCTGGGGCTTTGGGTGGTGCCCAATCCACAGCTGGAGCACAACAGGATATGAGTGAGTGAGGGGGAAGTGAGCGGTTGGATATGGCAGGTTAGAAACAGCCCAGCCTCCAGTGGGGCACTCTGCTTACCTACACTTAGGTAAATCCAAAACCTCAAAGCTCACAAAGACTTGAAAACTCCCGATTCCATGAATCCTGATAACAAGCAACCCAAAGGAACCATTGAGCTCCCTGAAGACTAACAGAGTCTGTGTGCAATGTAAGAGAGAAACTCCGGAGTGTGCATGGCCCAGGAAGACAGGTGGAAACCCAAGACGTGCTGCAATGCCTGTTGAAGCCCCTTTCCCCTGAAATGGCCAACAATTTTCCTTCCACATACATTAAAAGTATAGTCTGTATTTTGACTTGATGAAAAAAATGTAGACAGGATCTAGGACAAAGCCACCAAATCTTTTGTTCCCTTGGACACTCGATAGAATAAATGGTTTTCCACGTCACACAGGAGAATTTGAAGTGCTTTGTTTCTGCAGAAGTGGAACAGAGATAGTGGAGAATCTGTCAAAACCCCCAAAATGCTTTAATGTGGTGGCGGCTGGCTGGGAGGAGCAGAGCCCGGGGTTCCTTAAAAGCCAATAGTTCTGGAAATGGAGGAGGCTTGTTTGAACCAGCACGACAGTGTAACCTGGGCGCTTGTTAGAAAAGTACATTCTCAGGCCCCTCCCAGGACCAACTGAGTCAGAAATTCTAGGGCTGGAGTCCAGGAATCTGTGTTTTCACAATCCCCCCAGGTTTCTGAAGTTTGAGAACCAGTGGAATAAGACCAGGGGCCTCACGCAGGGCCACGGCTCTAAGGTGACCTAAAAAAAGTGGATGACAGCTGAGGAGCTGCCATGCCCGGTCGTGGCCAGGCCTGTACTGAAGCAGCTGAGGGCGCCCGCCAAGGCACAGGGGATGCCCACGCCCGTCAAACCACCGTGGGCACCCCGTCCCACCACCAGCCTCTCCCCGACTCCTGTTGTGACTTGACCTATGCTCGTGGCACTGGGAAAGGGCTGTGGCCTCTCAGGCTATTATTAGTTCCAATCCGCACAAGTCCACCAGTGCCAAGGGAAGCTTCTTCGAACTTTGGAAGGCGGGTTAACTGTTTCAGAGCAGCTGCGGGCCCAGACAGTGGTCGGAGACTCTAGACGCAGCACAGCGCTCTCACGAGCGCCAGGGCCGGCGGCGAGCTGTGGTCCCGCCGCACGGAGGCCCCTCTCCGCCAGGCCGCAGAACCCGGGTCGGAGAGCAGCCTGTCTCAACCTGCGTCCCCAAGGCCGAGGATGTGTCCTGGTTTTTTAAAAAGCTGTTTGTGCACTTCCAGGCGCTCACCCCTTTTATTTGGGGCTCCAGTATCACTGTATTGACCTAATTAATTCATTTTCTTCTCTGTCCAAAGTGGAAGCCGGAGCACAGGGATGCAAATCAAATACAAACCAGTCCTGGGTGCCAATACTCGGGACAATTAAAACAAAGAGCGCAGCGGCGGCGGTGGCGGCGGCACCACACAAAACCCTCGGGAAACATCCAGAACGTGCGGCGAACCAGCCGGCAGGGTGGGGCGCAGCCCGGCTGCAAACGTGCCAGCGGGGAGGCAGTCCCAGCCCGGCAGGTGGACAGGTGGAGGTTGGCAGGGGTCAAAATCCATCTCGCAGGCCTGGGAGCCGGGCAGCTGCGCCGCACAACTCCAGGGGGCACACTCGCCCTGCGCCCTGCGGGAATGGCGCCCCGGCCAAAAAAGCAACCAGACAAAAACCCATTGCACGGGCGGGAACTGGGCTGTGCGACCGGCAAAAGGGGTGGGTGGGAGGGGAGCATGCGGGAGCGAGGAAGGGAATGGGAAGGGAGAAACAGGAAAGGGAGGAAAAGGAGAAAGTGAAAAAGCGAGGGGGTTTGGGAGTGGGAGGGGAGAGGGAAGAGGGAGCCAGAGGGAGAGGAGGGGGATCGCGGAGAGCAGGAGCGCGGAAGGGGGGCGGAGGAGGAGCGGGGAGAAAGGGAAAGGGGGGTGCGCCGGGGCCGAGCGACTCGGGGGGGGGGTGGCGGCGGCCAGGGGGCGGGACCCGGCTCCGTGCCCACCTGCGTGGGCGCCCGCTGCCCAGAGGGGTGGAAGCCCGGGGGCCGGAGGGAGCGGCCGGGAGGCGGGCTGGGCAGAGAGGCAAAGGGGAGGGAGGGGACGGGGACGGGGAGGCGGGGAGGAGCCGGCGCTCGGCTGGGGCTGCGGGGGCGGCGACGGCGGGAGCGGCAGTGGCGGCGGCGGCGGGTCCGGAGGTGGCGGCAGGTGGCCCCGCGCGTGGCGGCCGGCCCGGCCGGGGGCGGGCGGGAAGGTGGTGCCTCGGGCGGGGGCCGGTCCCTGCACCAGGTGACCTGTTCCGGCCCGGATCCGGGCGGCCTCGCCATGCAGCGGCGCGGCGCGGGGCTCTGGTGGCCGCGGCAGCAGCAGCAGCAGCAGCAACCCCCGCCGCCCGCGGTCGGCCCCCGGGCCGCAGCCATGGCCCCCCCAGGTGGCGGCGTCCCCCCGGGCCTCGGCGGCAGCCCTGCCTGCGCGCTGCTCCTGCTCTGCTACCTGGTGAGCGCCGGACCCTGCCCGGGTCCTCCCCTCCGCGCGGGGCCCCGGGGACGCGGGTGGGGGCGGCCGGGAACACCCGCCACGCCGGGCGGAGACGCCGCCGCTAGTTTTCTCTCTTCCTCGCCGCTGCGCCTGGGGCGCTCCCGGCACCTGGGATGGGTACCCCGGGCGTGGAGAGGGGCGCGTGGACAGGACTTGCCGAGCTGCTCTCTCGCTTGTGCCCATTCCTCTCCCTCCTGTACTCGCTCTAGACCCAGGTCGGTTCCCCTCGAGACCCCTTCTCGTCCCCGACTCCACCCGGGAGCCTCGCCGCCCGGAGTTCGCTCCCCGCCCCGCCGCGCGCGGTCTCCAGCCTCCTCCCGACCCCTCTTGGGCTTCCCTCTCTACCTTCCCGCTCCTCCTTTCCTTCCCTTGCCCAACTTCGCCTCTTTCTCTCGGCGCCCGCCACCGGCCTCGACCCTCCTTTCAGTTTCCACCGGGTGCTCCCGGCCCGGACGGTTTTCCGCCAACGCACCTCGCATCTCCAGCGCTCTTCAACTCCTCCTTGGTCACTCCAGCCAAGTTGCGGATGCCGGAAAGAAATCTAGTTCTCTGTAACAGGCTTACCGCCAGAGTGGTGACTTTAGCTGCGCCTTAAACCCATTGTCATATCAGAGAGTATGTTTGGCTCATGCATGGCAGTTCGCAATTTGCACACTTCTTGGCTTCTGTTTTAGTCACCGACTAAAGGGCAGTAACCTATTTTTCAAAACCAATTTATTTTAAATACCAGAGTAGTGGAGACCCTCAGAACAAGGTGGGGGGAAATTTGCTCAATTTCTTTGATGGCTTGCTTGCTTATGTTCTGAGTTCTCCTAAACAATAGTAAATTTACAGAAGGCGACACCCTTCCTGCCCAGCCTACCTTACGTTCCAAAATCCTGCAGAAGCCTTGGGTTATCTCGCCATATATTACTGTAAATAAATGAAATGGAAAATGCTGAATCATGAAACTGATGTAATAGGAAATTCACAGAATGCCAAAAAAAAAAAAAAAAAAAAAGAAAAAAAAAAAAAATAAAAAAAAAAAAAAAAAAAAAAAATGAGCAGTGTCATTGTCCGCAATTCATTTCACTTATGTGGCATTGTCATTATTTGGAGTCTTCCTTTTTGGAAGCCAAAAACTACTTAGGAGATACTGGTAGGAATTAGAATTTGATTCCGAAGAAATTTGCCACCCAACCCAAGTTTCTTTTAACGCCTTTTACTTGTTGAATGTTTCATTTCTTGAAGCAGGAAGGTGTAAAAATGCAAATTATGATTCTGCCTGTGCATCTACCTGTTGAGCCATCCGTGCTTTTACTCATCTTTCAAAATTAGCCAATACCAAATTGTGTGGTTGGTCTTACTTCATATTTCCATAAGAAGTTGTCAGTTCACATGAATGATTTTTTTTTGCCCAAGAGATGTTATTATTTAATATTTATGCCACAAGGTTACAACACACAGTCTCATAAATAAAACTGCCATAACTAATGACAAGATTTCAGTTTAAACAGATGATCCCTGTACACAAGGCACTGCTGGCTGCCCACAGAGGCAGAAGTAAGGCAGAAGTAATGTAGTAGAGGCCTGTGTGAAACATTCATGTACAGATGGGCTGGGCCAGAAAGTTCCACGGGGACATCTCAAAACCTGGCAAGGAGGGGGACTCCTTCCCGACAGTTCAGGAAGTCAGAGTCAGGAGAGCAAAGCCTAAGGGCCTAAATGGGCTCTGGGAACAGAGACACATGATGGAGCAAGTATCATTCATGCTAAAGGTCTGTGTAGACCAAAGGGGATTAAGAGAACAGAGGGAAAAATGGTGCAATGGATAGGCTCAAGTGAAAAGGCGAAGGGGTGAGGAAGGGCTCCAGAAAGAGGGATTTTAGAAAATACTGTCATGTGGAAAATAACCAGAGCGTGGATGAATGTCTTGGCAGACGGGGAAGGAGCGGATTTGGGGACCTCATGGAGGGGGAAATGTCAGTGCTTCCTGCCTCTGTATGCTTCCTCCAGATGAATTTCTGATATGCTTACTGTGCAAGAGAGACTTTGATAAACCAGGGAGCCCTTTTGCAACTGAACGAATGAATGCAAACCCAGCCACGCAAAAGTCGACTTAAAAGGTGGTTTCCACAGTTTGTTCTGAAGTCTAGCTGTTGATTAGCGATGTTGATTAGCGATGGGTCTGTGCTACCTGAGATAGTACTGAAGGTAAGGCTTCTTGATCTTGGAGAAGCTTGGTGTGTGAATTGGGGGAAATGTAAATATCCGTATGAAACACTTGAAATACATAGAACAATAGAGAGAAAATGCAAATGCATAATTGCGTGCATTCTGCTCAATCACGGAATGCTACCTGGAGGAAGTGGTTTGTCAGGAGGATGGGGCTGGGCAGGAGCAGGGTACAGATGGAGCAGGATAGCTAGGCAGGATCTCAGGAGTATGCAGACTCTCGGGGAAGAAAGCTCTTTCACAATGTGAAAGCCTACATGGTAATAACAATAGCTTGCATTGGGCTGTGTCGTTTATAGGCATTATCCAGTATTAGTTTTAGCAAGAACCCTGTGAGATAGGGGCTATTATCATCTCCATTTAGATGAGATAACAGAGACACAGAGAGGTTAAGTTAGTTGCCCCAGGCCACACAGTCTGAGATTGAAACCCAAGTCTAGTCTAAAAAACCAGAATCTAAAAAAACCAGAGTCTCCCTCTAGAGCCCCCCTCTAATCCCCGCTAGCTTATTGTCTTCTGGATTTTGCAGCTTGTAACTCATTCTTCATCGATGTGCGGGTCATTAGCAAAGCTCTAGCAATTAGCAGCTACTGTGCAATTGGCCAGGATGTGAGGTCATGTCTAAAGTAATCTAAAATATACAAAGCAGGAAACGCAGGCCACAGAATAGAAGCAGGATGTTAAAGGGGGGAAGAAAGGTAAAGCTAGAAAATATTTGCCATTGTTAATGAAGAGGTAAAGGTTTGGGATTTTTATGTAGCCCAGAGGCCGCTGATGGAGTGTAGCATTTGAGTTCCTATGAATGTGCGTACAGGTGTACAGCAAATGTGCCTTGGAATGCATTCCAAAGCCAAATTGCCTCTGATTTGGGGACCAGTTCCTGTTTTGTGTTGTCATTACCTATTTGCCTGTTCTCAAGAGCTGGAGGTGGAGAGTGGCTTCTTAAGCCCCTGCCCTCATGGGAAGCATGGTTCCTGGGGTCAGGGTCCTGAGGAGTGGGCGCCTGCCTTCTCTATGGGCTGGGACGGGGTAACCTTCAATATCAGCTCAAGAAGAGTACTGTGTCTGTAGCTAGGATACTGCCAAAGCATGAATAATTGTGATGAGGGCTGAAAGATAAGTCACGGAACGATGCCAAACAGATTTCTGAAAAGATGATCCCTGGTTCCAGTGGCTGCCAGAAAATTCTGAGGTCATCAAAGGTCAAGATACAGAGAGCCTCCTCAGAGAGGGAGAGGGCATTGAAAGCAAAGGATATTGAAATTGCTTCCACTGAGGTCGAGGGTGCTGAGTACTGTGCTCCACGCACAACTTTCCCTGCCCAGCGGGACCCTTGCTATTTCCTTACACCATTAACTCTTACCTTCCTCCAGCTTGGCTAGAACTGGCCTGAGGCTGCCCAGCTCTCTATCTGTGACAGTGTCACTTGTAGAAGGCAATTCTGTCCATCCTAAGCTCTGGTCTCCAATGTATAATATTTTCCTATATGAGAATATGATATGCACTCTATCTGAGGAGGGCCAGTATTGATGTCAGCTGTCGAGGTGAAATGATCAGAGTGGATAGCTGCACTTGTTAGACAGTCAGACTGAGGACAAAGAAAAGGACAGTAACAGCACAGAGACATGTGGGACAGTTAGCAGGCGGCGGCTGTGACAGAGCCTTGGACAGCGTTCTCTGTAAGTGGCCACACACCCTTAGTCACCCATCTATGAGTATTCATTAACCCCTCACTAGGTGTGCAGTGCAGGGCATGGGAAGATCAAAACGAAGTAAAGAGAACTGCAATTATCCAGCTTCAGGGGGAGGATTATGAATATTTGAAAACAGAGATCATCCCCAAACCTCACATCAACCAGTAGCTGCCGTATTCATCCTGACCAGAGCTCCTTAAATCTCCCAAGCCGTGGTATTGGCCTCTTGCCTTCTATTTCTTCTGGCTGCTGATTGGCAGAAGCGCCAGAGCCAGAGGACAGGTAGGAGTGAATAATCCAGGCAATTCACTGGGAGGATGGGTAGACTGGAGTAGACCGTAAATAGCCTAAAGTGAATTCAGTTACCCTGTTTATTGGCTCATGCCATTCCCCTGAGAAAGGAGCCGAGAGGGGCAGGAGGCGTCTGCGGCACGTGACGAATGGCTGATGGGATTCTGCCTTGGCAGGTCTTGTTTCCTGTCTCTACCTGGAGAAGGGCTTGGTGATACCGGGGAGCTGGCCGAGTCTGGTGTTTGTGTGTTTGTGGTTAAGGCAATATCTATCTCCTCCAAACTCAAGGCCTGAGGGCGTGATGGCATTTTAGCCCCTGACCCTTTCAAGATGAGAATGCGGGAAGTTATAAGATTCCCCCACCCTGCAGCCAGACATCGGTGACGGGTGTCAAAGCCAGGGCGTGCGTCCACGGCATCATCTTTGGATGTTGTTGGAAGACGAGAGGCACACCCTCACTGACTGGAGTCAGCCAATGCGGATTTGAATTTTGGTTCTGCTTTTGGTAGCTGGTTGACCTTAGGCAAGTTACTTATCCTCTCTGAAGCCATTCTGTCGCCTCCACTGTAACAGTGGGACTCTGTCTCCCTCTGTGGGTTGCTGTGAGGATTGGGTTAGAAGTGAGAAGTTCTGTGAGGTCCCATGTGAGAGGATGAGGTTAGAAGTCAGAGAGAAGCCGGGCGCGGTGGCTCAAGCCTGTAATCCCAGCACTTTGGGAGGCCGAGGCGGGTGGATCACGAGGTCAAGAGATCGAGACCATCCTGGTCAACACGGTGAAACCCCGTCTCTACTAAAAATACAAAAAAAAATTAGCAGGGCATGGTGGTGCGTGCCTGTAATCCCAGCTACTCAGGAGGCTGAGGCAGGAGAATTGCCTGAACCCAGGAGGCGGAGGTTGCGGTGAGCCGAGATAGCGCCATTGCACTCCAGCCTGGGTAACAAGAGCGAAACTCCATCCCAAAAAAAAAAAGAAAAAAAAAAAGAAGTCAGAGAGAAAAAAGGGTTTAACATACCCAGTGCTCAGTACACAGTAGATACTCAATGAAATAAGAGCAGACCAACCTTAGGTAACTTTGTGTGATGTGAGTTGGGAAGAAACAGCATACTAAATAAAATGGGGGAGAATCTTCCACAACTAGGAATATTGATCCTGACTGGGATGGTGTGGCTCTGGCCAGCTCTCAGGTTTAGGAAGGCAAAATACTGAACCGGGAAATGTTTCCCCAGGCACATGCTGATTTTGAAGTCTGTACTGACATCTTTGTCCATTTTGCTTAATTGCATGCTTTGTTGACGCAGACAGAATTTTTGCTTATATCTAGTGGGCAGAAATTAGAAAAATGGGCTCTTTAAGGCAAGACACTTACCTTTTGAACTAGGGAAAATGTGATCCAGCCAGTTTGAAGAGAAAACCCTCATGAGCCACCGTTTTCTTAGGAGAAGGATGGAGCAGAATGGTCAGGAGTGAGAAAAACAGTTATTGTAAATGAACATCCCATAGTAAGATGTGAATGATTTAAAGTTTCCCAAACTCTCTGTCCCTTCTTTAAATATGAAGGAGAGACCAGATAGAGAACAAAGCCAAGTTTTCTCAGCTCTTTGGAACAAGGAAGGGTTATTTGAATAGCATCTCTTCTTATTGATTTTGTTTAAAGGAATCGAAGGCAGTCATCCTAAGAGAAGTTCAGGTCATATTGATAGTTTTATTTTTCCATCCAGAAAATACATAAATGCATCTGTTTCCTGATTCCCAGGCTGAATTCAATGCATTTA